TGATGGCTCAAGGCTAGTGGGGCCCTGGTGGAGTGTTGGGCCATGGAGAGGCCGTTCCTGTCAGAAAATGGGTAGAGCCTTAGGGGCAAGGGCATGGGTTTCAGTGGCAGTTCAGAAGCCTCAGGGGAAGAGCTGCAGGGCCTGCAGGCAGTGTGTAGGTTGTGGGAGTGGGTCTGTAGGGCTGGGCTGCAGGGTAGCTGGGGCTTTCCCCCTGCCCATGTTCCATGAAGGCAGTTGTTGCAGGGCTTCTCAGGTGGATTTTGCCATGCCTATTCAGCTCAAATCCCCCATGGGGGTAGGAGTGCTCAGCTTCTAGTCACAGGGTGTGTGAAAGTGTTTGCTTTCTCTGCTCCCTCCCTGGTGTGACTGGGGTGACATGGAGGTGGCTACAACAAAACTTACCCGTGTAGACCTGGTACATTGGACCTGAGAGTTCAGAATGTGGTCAGTTGCAGCAACCTAGGAACAAAAGCCACTAGGTCCTTCCTGTGCCCACTTTCTGGTGCAGTGATGCTTCACAGACTCTAAGCAGCACCCTGATCAGTCTGGAGGTCTGTGGGGTGGTGGGGAACCCCTCACAGCTCATGCCACAATGTCCATGGTCAGGGGGCATGGAGCTCCAGGGTTCTCTCTTCCTGTCCTTCCCCACACATAGATGCCTCCCCCAGGAACCTTCTGATCTTGTTGAGTGGAACACCCTGCCTCCCTCTCCTTCATTCTGAATGTCCCGTTTCTTCTCCAATAATTCACAATGCTCTTTTCAAGATGGCCCATCTATAGGTGGGCATCCACCTTCGACTTTCAATCCTCTCCTTGAGAGCCACGTGTGTGGACTGCTTCTAGTCTACCATCTTGCCACTCATTTCTTCTATCATTTTCTTTATGTAGATCTGAGTTTCCTTCTCTATGAAGAACTTATGTTAACATTTTTTTGTGAGGCAGATCTATTGGCAATAAATTTCTTCCATTTTTTAAAGAAAGTCTTTATTTCTCTTTCAGTTTTTTGAAGGATAATTTTGCAGGGTTCAGTGTAGTTGGTAGTTTTTTCCCTTAATACTTTAAATATTTCACTACACCCTCTTCTTGCTTGCATGGTTTCTAAGGAAAATTTACATGAAGTTCTTATATTTGCTCCTCTATAAGTAGGGCAGTTTTTTCTTTCTAGTTTCTTTCAAGACTTTTTTCTTTATCTTCTAATTTCTGCATTTTAAGTATGTTATGCATAGGTGCAGTTTTTGTGTTTTTTTTGGTTTTTTTTTTTTTTTATCTTTGTTGGTATTTTCTGAGCTTCCTGATCTGTGGTTTGGGGCAAATTCTCAGTAAATATTATTTTGAATATTTCTTCTGTTTCTTTTCCACTTTCTTCTTCTACTGACATTCCCATAATGCATATGTTATACCTTTTGTAGTTGTCCCACCATTCTTGGATACTCTGTTCTGTTTTTTCAGTCTTTTCTCTTTCTCTTTGCCTTTCAGCTTTGGAAGTTTCTATTTGGGATATCCTCCAGCTCTGAGATTCTTTTCTCCATCATTTCCAGTCTTTTAATGAGTTCATCAAAGGCATTCTTCATTTCTGTTACAGTGTTTTTGATCTCTAGCATTACTTTTTCATTCTTAGAATCTCCATCTCTGCTTACATTACCCATCTGTTCTTGCATGCTGTCTACTTTATTCGTTATAGCCTTTAGTGTATTCATCATAGTTATTTTAAATTCCCAGCCTGTTAATTCCAACATCCCTGCCATATCTGAGTCTGGTTGTGAGCTTGCTCTGTCTCTTCAAACTGTGTTTTTTGCCTTTCAGTATGCCTTATAATTTTTTCTTGGTAACCAGACATAATGTACTGGGTAAAAGGAATTGTGGTAAATATGCCTTAGGTAATATAATGGTAAGGTGTTGGGGACAGGCAGTGTTCTAAAGTCCTATGCTTACATCTAAGTCATTTGGTGGGTCTATATCCCTGGACTGCAGACTTCACAAGTGCTTCTCAGACTCCCTTTACCCCACCCTTAGGGTGGACAGAATAGTTAGAGTGGGCTGGGATTGGATATTTTCCTTTCCTAGGTCAGTTAGACTCTGATAAAACTCCAAAAGTTTAGGCTCTGGTAAAATAGCTTCTCTGAGGGCAGGACTTGTTAAGAATACAATGCTCTGGCATATTTCAAAATGGTTCCTTTCCTCTTCTCCTTGTTGGAATCACAGGGGATTTTTCTCCAATATTCACCAGAGAACCTTGTGGAGGGTCCTCCTATGACTGGATCCCTCTGGAGTTTTAACTTTCATACTTGTCCACAATGAGATTCTAGCTATTTGTCAGCTGTAGTTCAGGTTTTCCTATCCAAGTACTGGTTCCTGTGGAGGTTTCAGCTCATGGGTTTCTGCTCTGGTGATTTTTGATTCTCCGTATCCAACTCTCTGTCTCTCCAATTTTGAGGGTAGCAGTTTGCCCTGTGGCCACACTTCTCTTACAGATCTAAGAAGAGTTGTTTATATTTTGTTTGTTCAGCTCTTTACTTATTGGGACAGAGTGAAAACTTCCAAGCTTCTCACATAACAGATGGAAAGTCTAAAATATCTTTTAAAAATATATTTATTTGGATTAAAAAGTGAGTCTGAATAAAAGGATGACTTTAATAAGTAATAGCACAATTGGTATTCTAATAGCTGAAGTTTAGGAACACTGTCATGGTCTAAGGGGTGTTGGGGCAGAAGCAATGTCTTTCTTTGCTTACTTCAGCTCTCTGGCTTAATAACCACTCTAACTGTGCACATACAGTTCCCTAATCACACAGTCTGCCTGCATGCATATTCCGGTGGCCATCTGTCCCTGAAACAAAAGGTGTGCACAGCAGAGAGCCCCCACCCTGTCAGCTGTGATTTATGAGCTCCTATGTTTGGAGGAGTGGCTGCTCCAGGTTACACTGACTCAGCACCTCCAGAGCAGCCTTTCTGGACATTCCAGCCCCTCCTAGGGAATGCCTGTCTGTGCAGTTACTGTCTAGTCCAGACCCAGAACTCCAGGGGCACTCTGCTTCTTGCTCCACACCCACTTCACCTCCAGCATTTCTCTCCTTTTTCCTGCTCTGTTTGGAGGATATGCCCTCCCCTCACAGCCAGTCCCAGATAACCTCCCTCCCTCCTGTCAGCTGGATTGCTTTGACCAGCCTTAGGTCTCCCCTGGTACAACTGTGAGGCTCTTCTGGGCACTCTAGTCAATATCTACTTTCCTGTTTGTGCCTCTGTCCATCATATCTCCTTTCACTTTGCAAGAGTCTGTTCTGGAAGGGTGGAAAAAAAGAGGATGACAAGTCAAAAGACGTAGGTTCAAGTTGTCATTGTCTGCTATGAGTGTGTGTGTGTGTATAGGAGGAAGGTGTCTAGTGAGCAAGTGATTAATTTCTCTGAGTCTGTTTCCTATGAGTGATCCTTTGGACTTCTAGGCTGCCCTGAATCAAATACTCTTTGTCCTGTTAACAGCCTTATTGCCATTTGGAAAATACCCCACTGTACAATTTTGAAGATGAGCAGCTCCTGTGCCCACCTCTTACCACGGAAGCTAAGGGTGCCAAATCCTTCCTCCACCTTCCCTCCATCCCCCATCCCAGCCATATTGGCTACTCTTTTCTGTGATCCTGATGGTTGGTAAAAACTGGAGAGACCCTCTGGAGCCTGGATCCTTGCCCGTGGTGGTAGGGAGCATAGGCCAGAGAGGTCCTGCTGCACAGCCCATGCCAGTGGGTCCTCTGGCCTCCCACTGATTCTTTGAACCTTAACAGCCTTTCCTTACGTTCCCTTCTTGCCTAAGAGAGTCAATCTATTTTTGTTTTTCACAACCAAGAGTCTGATTGACACAGCCCCTGTCTGTAAGACAAGAATAATAATATCTTCCTAACAGGGATTTTGTGTTGGCTAAATGAGCAAGCATGCCTCCCCTCCTAACTTGGTGCCTGGAACATGAAAACTGAGTTTACAGAAAGCTTATTACATATTGGGCCCTGAGATAAACAGTATTCAACCTTAGCACACAGAATCCTTCCAATGAACCTATAAGAATGGTATTACCATTTGGCAGAAGTGGAAACTGAGGCATGGGGAAGTTAGGTAACTTGCCAAGGCCATGCTGCTGAAAGACAGAATCAAGCTTTGTTTCCAGGTCTACCCAATATTAGAAATCTTTAACTCTCCTCCTTTCTCATTTCTCTGTTTTTGCTCAACTCAGCTTTGAGGGATATCAGTATGGGCTCGGAATTAAAGGCTAATTAAATAAGGACTAGAAATCCAGAAAAGCCCTCAGGTGAGCTCCTATGAGTAGGGTACCCCTTACTAACTCTGATAGTAATGCCCTTGGTATGTCGAGTAGAACTGTTTGCCTCGACCTCCTACCGTGAACGAGCTCCTGAATGCTAAGCCATGCAGAGCCGGACGAAACCCAGCCAAGGACCGCAGCCAGGGTCGCGCTGGGCCCGCGCGCCTCTCCACCACGCAACTGGGCGAGGGCGCGAGCCAAGAGGGGAACGCAGAGCGCCAACCGGCGGGAGCCAGGCCCCCGGCAGCCTGGGGTTGTCGGGAAATGTCCCCGCGACAGTGGCGAGGCCAGGGAGGAGGCGGGGCGGGAGTGAGGCTGCGGCATCCGCTCGACCTCGCCGGGGCCCAGTCCTGCAGCACGCCTGGGCCCGCGGAAGCCTCTCGCAGCAGGGCCTGGAAATTCTGGTGCTCCACAGAAGGGCCAACCCCAAACTAGCTTCGAAAAGATGAATTCATGAGCCTGGCAAGTGGGCAGTCAGGAGATGGACCGCCTTCAGGCACCGCGGGATCTAGATGCTCAACCCGCGCCTTCAGAACGCGGTGTGGAAAATGAAAAAGAAGAAGAAAAGAAAAAAAGAAAGAGAGGAGAGAGACGAGGGGGGGAGGGGAGGGGAGAGGAGAGGGGAGAGGAGGGAGAGGGGGAGGGGGAGGGGGAGAGGGAGAGGGAGAGGGAGAGGAGAGGAGAGAGCACTCACAGTCTTTCTCCCAGGGCGCGGCATGCTTTCCTCTTTCGCTTCTTCCTCAGCAGCACCCTGTAACTACAAGCTGCCCGCAGCTCCCGCCCCCACAGAGGCCAGCGCGCAAGGAGGCGCTTCTTCGCCAAGTTTCCACGGCAACTCCCACGCCTGATTCTGACTGGTCTCACTCGATCTTGTGCACGTCCCTCAGCCAATCACCATGGTCAGAGGGAAGCCCTGCCCTGATTGGCCATGCCTGTAAAGGGGCGGGGCTAGGGTGGGGCTGTCTGCGACTCTGTGCCTGGGCGGAAGTGGTCCCTGGGGCGGAAGTGGTCCCTGGGGCGGAAGTGGTCCCTGGGGCGGAAGTGGTCCCTGGGGCGGAAGTGGTCCCTGGGGCCGTAGTCCCTGTTGGTCTTCTGGGTTTGGCGTGAAAGTCTTTGCACCGCCAAAAGGAAAGAAAGACTAACGCTGCCCCCCCACTTCCTCCCTTGGCTGCCTTGCCCACGCCCCGTGAACTCTGCTGGAGTTTGCGGAAAGAGAGGTGGAGCTTTGTTCCCATAGTGGAAGGCCCATTTTACCTTTTTGCGCTGCCTCATTTTTGCTCTGGAAGGCTGTTCCTGCTTCCAGAGCTCCGAGCCGTGTTTTTTCTCTTTGTGTCTCTCCCCCTCCCCGTGACGTGCTCGCGCTGCATGCTCAGGGCACCGTTGCATTTGGTGGTGGAGCACTGAGAGAAGGAGGCAGAGTGCAGCCTGCCAGCCCGCTTCCTGCCCCTGGTCGCGCGGAGCGTAGGCCCTCAGTCCCAGAACTCCGCACTTTCTGGCGCAAGGCCATTGTCTCGGCCGCCGTCTCTCCCTGGCCCACGCTGGGGCATGGGATGCAGGCAAGCGGAAGACGGAGGGGCTATCTGTCCGGAGGAGCGGAGAGCAGAAGTGCTATGACCCTAGGGGTGGGAGTCCAGCCTCAGCAGAGCTCTGGGCCACACGGCTGGCTGCAAATGTTAATTGGGCACAACTTTATCTGACAGAATTAGCCCTGCTGTAATAATCCATAAAGTGCAGAATGTGCATCAGATGCAAGTTTATTGTGTAAAAGCTATATCTTAATCATATTAATTGAAGTTTCACAGCAGATGCTCTTCCTTTTCCAGCCACAGTTTATTACATTTCATTAGCATCATGTTAATGGCAGCACAATAGCAGAAACTGTGGTCATTGAAACACTTTTCTGATGGCTCAACTACATTTTCTGTGCCGTTAACTCAAATGCTAGTCTGGTTAGTCAGGGTTTCTCTGCTGGTGGAAATTACCTTTGTATCTGCAAATTCCTCAAGCATGGTACAAACCCAGCTTATCTCACTTAGACTGATTTTTACCAAGTTAATCATTTGTTGGGCCTCCCAAGATTCTTGGTCTAGAGACAAGGCAGGTCCTGGGCTAGAAAATGTCCGTGCCCCCTCCCCTCCCTCCCTTTTTTTCCCCACTTATTGCAAATTAGATTTGGAGTAGCTTATAAAACACAAACAGCAGGACAAAAATAAACAAGACCAGTGTACAAGGATGCTTGAATTCAAATCCTGACTCCATCACTTCCTAATTGTGTGACTTCAGACAAGTTATTCCATGTCTCTAGGCCGTGTTTCCTGTGTTTGAAGTAATAGCAGATTCCATTCCTCCCAGCCAGCTGTGAGGGTTGAATGTAAAGTGCCTGGGGGCTGGCATGGCTGGGGTGAGAAGGTGGGGCGGGGCTGGGGTTGGGTTGGAAGTTCCTGAGGCCTGCAGCAGGATGCCGCTTTCATCCTCAGGGCAGTGGAGGGCCACTGGGTGCTTGTGGGCGGAGAGGAGGCCCTGGCCTGACTTTGTGCAAAATGACTATGGCTGTTTCATGGAGAACGGATCGCAGGGGAAGGGGACAGCAGGAGCAGTGAAGAGGCTGCTGCAAAAGATGCTGGAGTCTTGGGCGAGGGAGAGGTGAGGGACATCAAGGTGGGGTCCATTTTGAAGGGGAAGCCGACAGGGCTTGTGACAGCCTGGGTGGGGTCGTGAGAGAAGGAGGGGACAGAGGATGCAGCATTGTCCTGAGGTGGGTCTCTCCACCCTGAGCCCAGTGCCTGCTTTGTTACTGAGGAGGGGTCAGCCTCTTAGGGCTTCATCAGCCAGCTTCTGAGGAGCAGGGCCCCACATCATTCCAGCACAGGAGGCTCCAGGGAACTCTCATGTGGGCTGGGGGCATCCGGCTGACTCACTCTCAAGTTTGTACATTGTTTAAAGTGCTTTCTCGTAGCTTACCAAACTTCTCTTACCACGCCGATCCTGTGCTTTAAATAGAGCCCTCGATTATCCCATTTCACAGATGAGCAAACTAAAACCTGCAAGATACAATAAATGACACACCCAAGAGTATATACTTAGTCATTACTATGTGAGAATGAAGGAAATAACATGAAAACTTTGAGATCCTAATAAAGAAAAGTGTTAGATAAATCCAAGGTATTCTAATTGTAGGAAAAGATATTGGACTCAGGAAGGGGTAAGGAATATCAAGCTAGTACAGTCTACAGTCTAGTAATAAAGTTTAAAATGTTTAAAATGTAATAAATATGATTGTTACCTCCCCACTGGTCTCTTGTTTTGGGGATAAAATTTTCTAGATAAGATACTAAGTGGAACCAATATTTGATCTCCTCTTGTAAAGCTACGTGTTATCTATATCTATATCTATATCTATTCTCAGTTAATCCCAGGAAGGACTCCAAGAATGCACACTATTATCTCCATTTTACAGTTAGGTTTACTCAGGCTTTTTTTTTTTTTTTTTTTTAAGACAGATTCCTGCTCTGTCTCCATGGCTAGAGTGCTGTGGCATCATCATAGTTCACAGCAACCTCAAACTCCTGGGCCCAAGTGATCCTCTTGCCTCAGCCTCCCAAGTAGCAGGGACTATAGGTCCGAATCACAACACCTGGCTAATTTTTCTATTTTTAGTAGAGAACATGGTCTTGCAATTGCTCAGGCTGGTTTTGAACTCCTGAACTCAAATGATCCTCCCACCTCAGCCTCCCAAAGTTCTAGGGTTACAGACATGAGCCACTACATCCAGCCACTGAGGCAGTTTTGTCCTTTGAATAGTTTATATTCTATAAACTGCCTGAGTCTCACATGCTGTGAGGGGTCCAGACATTGCACACCTGCAAGGCCCACACCCCAGTGAAGCCGGAACTAACATCCGGCTTCTGGAAACTGTTGCTTGCTTGCCATGGAAACCGTTGCTTGCTTGCTTGATTGCGCCAACTTTGCATTGTTTGGACCCCTGTATAGTGGGGCTGCCAGCCAACCAATCATGTTAAAGGTCAATGCATGATCCACACGTGATCAGCCACTGCATAGCGTATGCACCATAGGGATAAAAGGCACGCTGCAACCCCAGTCGGGGTCCTTGCCTGCAAGAGTGACCACTGCGTTGGTGCTCTGGGGCTTGGACCCTGGCTAGCCAAAAAACAAACCTCCTCTTGTGTAATTACATCCTTGATGTCTCTGCTTTTCTGTCCGGTGGGGCTGTGGAAGGTCGGTCCCTAACAATGCAATGGAATAACCTTCATAAAAAAGCTAAGCCAAAATTTCAGTTAGGAAGGACAGATAAGTTCAGGGAATTGTTGCACAACATGATGACCATAGTTAACAACGATATATTACATGCTTGAAAATTTCTAAGAGAGTAGATTTAAGTGTTCTCACCATGAAAAAATTAAGCATGTGAGGTAATGCCTATGTTAATTAGCTTGATTTAGCTATTCCACAATGTGTGTATATGTATTAAAACATCACGTTGTATGCCATAAATATATACAGTTTTTGTCAATTAAACAATAGCAGAGCCAGCAAGCAGTTTGTACACTGTGTGCCATCCACGCAGAAGGGACCTCATGTCGCAGCTTGCGTCTCCAGCAGCTTTCTGATGTCAGCCCTAAATGCATACGTCAAAACACATCACCCTCCAGGGACGCTGGAGCCATCTCAAGATTGCATGTTTAAGTGACTAAAACAGAGAAATACAGCTCTTGGGTTTACAACAAAAAGCTGAAAGGCCGCATCCTGGGGAGGGCTGTGTGTTAGGTGAGCAGTGAGGGGCAGGAGAGGCGGGCGGCCGGTGGTCCCAGAGGGTCCTGTGGGTAGTGGTGGGCCAGGCCTGCAGCGGGAACCTGTTCCAATTGTCAAGTCCCTGTCTCATCATTTGTCAAGCAAATAGGCAATGTCACAGCAGATTATGGTGGTGTCAAAGAGAAAAAGCCAGCTGAAAACACATCTGAGAATGAGACATTTTTCTCCTCAAAAAATGTGGTGGTTTTGAGGAAAAAGTGTTCTAGAGGGTTGGTAGGCAAGAGTGGATATAGATTTTTAATGACACAGGGGCAGGTATCCTTTGGTGTCATGCATGTTGGTCACAAGACACACTATGGCTCGAACCGTCCCAGTGGGTAAACAGTAGACTAAGGGCAAAAAGGTTAAAGCAGAGATTATAGATTGGTTTCTGCTGGATCAAATGTGGCCCACAAATGTGTTTTTCTGGGCTGGCTGAGTGCTTAAAAAATATTTAAATTGGGAACTTAAAAAGACATTGCAGGTAAAAATGCAGATTTTTGCCTTTTCTGGAAAGATAGGAAGATCTGGCAATTCTGGGCCAGTTTCCCAACATGGAGGCTTGCCTCATGGAGTAGCAGCTGCCCCCTTCTAGATGGAGCTTGACCTCTCCAAATTTACATTCTTCAGTCATGTAATTACTTGCCTTCAAACCTGGGGTCCTAATCCCAGATTCTTTAAAGGGTTCTCATCCCACTCCCCATCCGCCCCCAGTGGAGCTTCGTCCCCTCCTCCTGCCACCCCAGCCAACGGCAAGAGGGTCAGCTGTGCATCTCAGCAGAGAACCAGTCTCCCCGCCTTTCTCTGCCGCTCCTCTGTGGCTTTATAAGTAAGAGAAAACATGGATCTCCATGAGGAGATCAGCACCTCCTATCTCTTTCTCTTCTTATCTGCCCCTGAATGAGAAGGGACATGTGGTCAAAACTTAGAGAAGCTGTTTCACATTTACTCTGAAGCTGTGGAGTCCTCTTCTTCCTCCCCCAGTTTTTTCTACCTATTTTGTTCTTCTAATAGGAAGATAGGGCAGAATTTTAATAATATCTCCCTGGAATGACTTTCTTCATGCATGAATTATTCCTCATTTACAAAGGTTTGGGAGATGCTTTCCCTCCTTCCTTTCTTGCTGTGGGAAATGATGACTGTTTCATTGCCAGGCACGTTACTGTCAGAGCTCATGAAGCTGACGGCCGAGCCTGTTTTCCCACGGACTCCCTCT